GCCGAAGAAGCGGTCTAGAGGAAGGCCGGGTCTGCCCGGCTCGGCAAAGGTTATTCGACTTCGAGAGTCTGTGTATGATTTATGGAGGGCAAGGAAAACAACAATGGGTTTCGGTAACACTACAGACAGTGCTTTTGCAGAAATGTTATTGCATTGTTCCTACGATGGAACTAGAGACTCCGGGGAGATTTTTTCGAGGTGAGAATAATTATTTGACTGATTTTTACTTGAGATCCTGAGATATGTATGTAAGCGATCTCATTTGTACAAGTCATTATTCTATAATTGAAATGCGTAAAGTAAATCAGTTTTGGCCAATATTGGTTATTTGTTTATATTTTATTTAGTGTTGAAGCCGAACAATTTCCTTCAACATCAAGTAAGCTTTGTACAAGTTTTATACACAGACTCGATTTATGATTTTTCAGTCTCAAATATTTAGCTGCAAATTTGTTTACTGTGTTCTTCACCAAATCTTTGTTTTTCTTTTTAATAGTGTTTGTGAATGACTATCAGAGTTCGCCATTTAACAATAGCGTGATTCCAAAACAAAAACAAACGACTGCAGAGGATCTTGGATGAAAATGGGCCTTTAAGCAAAATTCACATAAGAACCATTCTAAGCTAAAATCTCTCTACAACTAGGTTTTTATTTTTAGAATATGGAGTCTTTAATTAAAATGCAAAACAGTACATCTCATGCAATAGAAAAAGGGTAACAAAGACTAGCCATAACATCGGCAGTTTTCTAAGAATGCAATACTGTACTGTCAATACATCCATAGCTGTGTAATATATCTCTGTGTATAAGTTAACCATGTGAAGCAGGGCACTGTAAGGCTGGCATACAGTGCAGTATCACACCCATATCCATGAATACAAGTCGTTTTTAGTTTAAACAAGAATTGAGACCGTGATTAAGAACCTAGTACATAGCCTAATTTCATAGTAAGCACCATTCATATAAGAAACTATGGAAACTAACTTAAAAAAAACCTTGGTTCATAGATGTGGGTTTTTACTATGTATCAACAAACAAACAAATTCAATCTGAGTACTAATACATCCTCCAATTTAACTGCAAACTTGAGCTTAATGGTTAGAAAAATGTAGCCAATCATTCTGTTGCTAAAACAATACCTCCTTATTTATCTATTCATCTAAAAGTCACCTACTTTCTATATTTTTTGCATAGGTGGTTGCTTTTCTTTCCCCATACTTTTCTTTGCTTCTTAATGTGATATTCACATACCTGGCAGAGTTTGATGAAAAGTCTTCACAAAACCTTTTGGCAATGACAGTTGGTATTGGGGCCAAGGCGTAAAAGAACACTGCAAAGATGACAGTGCGGTAATTCCATAATGAATAAAATATATTAACTGTCCCATATTTAATTGAAAAGAAATTTCAATCTCAATAACTCATTTGTTGCAATGAGGAGGTAGTGTGTGTGTGTGTGCAATGTGTCCCCCTTTGTCCAAGCCAAACCACAGCGCTCTACTTTGTAGTTTTAAGAGTTAACTTACATACAAACATCGGCCACCATATCCTGTAATGATCAAGGACAAACAAATAACAGTTAGTGGTATCGAGCAATTCTTACAAAGAAAGGAAGACAATTTTTACAGACGTTTCAAAATTCAAACATTTTGATATAAGTCAGTGAAAAGGATTCGATCAAATAGCAAAAACTGAAATGTTTTATTTACAAGTAATGTTCTAGAGAGCTCTTTACTTACCCGTATTCTTTCAAAGCACACCCAAGAACAACGAGCAGTACACCGATTGCCCCGGAAAAAGAAAGAGCGATGATTCTACCATATAAGAGAAATGAAATAGGCTCTTAATATCACAGAAAGTTTTAATCCATAAGGAAATACTTGCAAGATTGAAAATCTGCTACAGTCGAAAGCAGTTTGAATCGTACTTACGCTAAAATGTCATCCATGAGCAGGAAGGAGAAATGAAACGAAAGAGAGAAAATTTGAATTATCCACAGATGAAGCAGGTTCTTTTAAACATGCCCATTAACGTTACAAATAAAAAGAAGCACAGAAATATCTCGAAACATTGTACCTGTGATGCCTCCCGCCATGTTGATTTTAGTTACCAGTTCTCGTACGTTTCCAAAAATAGCTCACTGCTCACTGCTCTCCTCGTTCGTAGTCTCTAATTATAGAATTTTTCCAGAGAAATTTTTATAAATATAACGTTCGTTATCCCACTGACTCTTTGTAACTTACTCAAACCTATTTTCCTAGCATAACTTCTCTACTGTTCGACATATATCCTGTCTCGCAAATATCTAATTAAGCCTGCTTGTCTGTCTAAAGCGGCCGAGTGTAGGCTGGTAACTAATGTGTTCAGTTAACAAAAATGGCGGATAACACGAATATTTGTGTACAAAATGCTCACCGTTGTTCAGGCAGTCAAAACTCTCCTAGCTGTATGCAAGGCTAGTTCCCCCTGAAAATATGCTCCATAGATTTAACATATTATGTTACTGAAACTCGACGTCCTTTCGTCGACTACGATCAAAAGAAAAAAACCATGGCCGACTTTAGCTTGGCTTGGCAAGGTGAGTTTGTATCGGAAATAATTGAGACGGAGCTTTACCCTGGCAAATATCGATCGAACTATATTTTAGAGTGCATCTTACCATTTGGATATATAATTGCAACTAGTCTGAACTGTGTGTTTGCTTCCTGTTCTAGGATGTTGGAGATCTGTACCTATTTGACTCTCGCCGCCTAAGTCAACTGTATTTGCCTTCAGGAAAAACAAGGAAAAAGATTCCTGCCATACAAAATTATCTAGATGATGTGCAAGGCTTTGGAATCTCAGCCAATGGTAAGAAATTCAAATACATAGTTCCAGACAGTCAACAGGAAAACAAAGTGATGATGAGAATAATGACTGTAAACTACATGTACTTTTACTTTTCTAGCTCTACATCTTTTGCTCATATTTTATCAAAAAGAACGTTACTTGAACTGACATTATTTATGCACTAATTGATTGAGTGGTAGGGCTGGAGGGGAAGATATTTGGCTCGAGGGGAAAATATTTGGCTCAAGGGGAGAATATTTGGCTCAAGGGGAAAATATTTGGTTCAAGGGGAAAATATTTGGTTCAAGGGGAAAATATGTGGCTTAAGGACATGGGATACTGACTAGGTGCAGTGAGGTGTGTACTTCGTGGCAAAGGGCCAAATATTTTCCCTTCTGACTCAACTGAATTCAGTCAATAAGCAATTTATTGATTTAAATAAATAATTTATTGATAAGAGTTGAAAATTTTGTTTCTACCTAAAATAATAGGATGTAATATGCAGGCACATGCAGGACAACCACGAGAAAGACTTTTCAAGCCATCTGGCCCTAAAAAAAAAAAAAACATACATCAGCTTTCACTATGTTTTTCTATGGGATTGTGCATGGCATGCAGGGCTGTACAAGTCATATGATAAATACCTCTTACTATCCAAGTTCGAGGTCCATGCCTATTCTTACTGCTAATTTCTAACTTAGGCATGAAGTGTGTGTGCCACAATTCTGGACAAACAAAAATGAGGATATTTAACCTACAATATGGTTAGAGAAAGGAGGTTGTAAGATATGTGTTATTCCTTTCCAGGGCTCGACACTAACAGTAGCCCACTAGCCACAGACTAGTAGAAATTCAGTTCTGGCTAGTGGTTGTCAATCCAACTAGCCAGTTTGGCTAGTAAACAGACTGAAATTGTCGTAACATCTAAAAACATCTAAGATGTCACTAGCCACTTGGCTAGTAAGTTGAAAAGTTAGTGTCGAGCCCTGCCTTTCACTGCCAGAAGTAATTAATCTGTAGATTTCTCCTTTAATATCCGTACACTAGCCAACAAAAAGGTCACGAGAATACTCAAGCTTATCAAATAGAAGTTGAACCGCTGCCTGGTTAGCTCAATTGGTTAGAGCGCCGGATTGTGTTGTGCAGGAGGTCAAGGGTTCGAGCCCCGGCCGGACCAATACTCATGGTCTTAAAATAAGTGAGGGGAATTTGCTACCTTTCTATAATCAAGAATTAGATATTCTAGTCTTCTCGGATAAGGATGAATAAACTGTAGGCCCCGTCTCCGGCAGGGCTAGGGGTAGGAGACGTTAATTTCCCACACTCGAGATTGCTGTGTGGTGGATGTCCTCCCCTGGGTGGGATGGGTGGGTGTTGGCCCTGAAAAACCCCTAAGGGGAGTGGTCAATTAACCTATGTATATATGTATATATGTATGTATATGTATGATATCTTAATCTGACACCAAAATTAATTCTTGTAACTAATTTACAAGGAAATGCGTCGCAGCTAGAGGGAAGAATTAGCAATTAGGTCTTGGGAGTTAAATAGAGGATATTACATGGCCGCGCGGGGATACAAATTTTATCTTCGAGACTGCTGAAAGTGTCTCTCACGATTGAGTGCAGCAAACGAGTGAGAGATACTTTCAGCACTCGAAGATAAAATTCGTATCCCCAAGCAGCCATGTAATGTTCTGTTTATTATATAGATACTGATGAAATTTCCACATAAAAGACAACTTTTTTTCTTCATTTTCGAAACAGCAATTGGGTAATTATGTTGTTAACCATGGCCACACCAATATCCTCACACATGAAAGATAAAAATAATATCTTCACTGCTTGCGGTGAGGATATGATTTTTTGGTAAAAGGAGAAATCATGGTATTTCATCAGTATCTATATAATAAAGGGTTATTATCTTTAGGTTTAAAAAAAAAAAACAGGGGAAAATTTCAATTCAAACAACCGTTTCAATTTAGAGGGGCTGTATAATGAAATGTGGTCCACTAAATTGACCAATCATAGCTCATGTACCATCTGAAAGATTATATTTAATGCATTTTACTTGGATTTGTTGAATTGCAGGTTTTTTTGTAGCTGGTGCATTAAACTCTGGTAGAGTCTTCATCTGGAACAAAACCTTGGCAACAGTCAAGTTAACAGCTGTGTTGGATAAGATAAGAAATGTGCAGCCTGGAACAAGTAAGTCTAGTAGATAAAATGTCTGCCTCTCTGTCTTGTCTACTTGAGGTGTAGCTTGACTACTCAACCCTTGGGCTCCATGTTATGACTAAGGACATCAAAAGTTTGCCTTTTTCAGCATGCATATGGTTGTTTAATACCTTTATTGCTATTTAATTATCAACCTCATCAAAGGTGTGATAATCTTTGTCAGCCTCCCTCTCACACTGCCTTTAGATTTGGTTTTAGACTGCAAATTGTAGACAAATTCATACAGTACACCTATTTTGAATAGAAAACCCTACAAAATCTACTTCCATTGACAAATGTGGACAAATTAATCCAAATTATCTTCAATCTGGAAGGTTGAAGGAACTGTAGGGGTGACCAAGAAATTTGTTCTGTACTGAGACAGTTGGTATATATATCTTATTAACCAAGTGCGAGGGCCGTACTGGGAGAATATCGGCCTGAGGTCTTGACAGTACAGACTGAGCGCAGCTTGGTCCGTACAAAAAAGATCGAGGGCCAATATTCTTCCAGTACGGTCCCGAGCAAGCTCGGTTAATAAGAGATTTATTATACGACTGAGGTTCAAAGGGACACAATTGCAGTATCGTTCGGGACCATTCAGGAC